TCTATCCAAAGTACTGCCTGCCTCCTTAGTTACTTACTGATACTGGCAATGAATTTCTAGGATTGAAAACAAAACAAAACAAAACAAAACAAAACTCTCTCCCTCTCCCTCCCCCTCCACGCCTCCTGCAGTCTTGGTGCCACACGTGAGGTACCTCCCCAAAATGCTGGCCGTTGTCTCAGTATTCCTCAAAATATTAGAATGTGACTAAACAACCCAACAGAAGCTGAAGGCATTTCCTCCAGAGAGAGTAACAAGGTATTGCAGCTAGGTGTAAGGTAGACTTTTCTTGGCTTAGCAGAAATTTTGGCCAGTTCTTTTGATGTTAGATTACATGTAAAATCATAATAAAAAGCAATTATAAAAAAAGTTTTGGAAGAGCAAGTTGTTATAATGAATTAAATGACTGGAAATCATGTTTCCTTTCCTAGTCCCCCTAAATCTTAGTGCCTTCTCTCTTAAATCCTTGCCATATTCTGTTCGTACATAACTATTTGTTGCAGTCTCCTACAGTGCAGGGACTGGTTTTTTGCCTTTCTTTTTTATCCCTAGTGCCTGGTACAAGTGCTGGCCTAGCGTAGTCTCTGGATATTTGTTGTTCAGACTCTTTCAGACCCCACAGACCATGCCGTGCATGGGGTTTTCTTGGCAAAGATACTAGAGTAGGTTGCCATTTCCTTCTCTAGCATGTCCCCATATTTTACAGATGAGAACTGAGGCAAATAGGAGTTAAATGACTTACCAAGGGTCATACAGCTCATACATACTGAGGCCCCAATTGAACTTGGAGCTTCCTGACTCCAGGGCCAGTGCTCTATCCACTGTACACTACCTAGCTGCCCCTAGACTCTGGCACATGGTAAATCCTTAGTAAATGCTAGTTGACAAGTTTCCTTGGTAAGAGACCTGAAATCTGAAGTTCTACCCTTACCCAGTGCCCCTAGGCAATGGGGGGTGGTATTTGGACATCAAGAAGATTTCCAGGCCTACCTTGCGTAGTCAACTCTCACAGTATGGGAGTTTAATGAGGTCATCATTGGGTCCTAAATTAGGAGCTGAAAGAGTTTACAGTGGGGAAATTGTGGCCCAGAGAGGTGAGGAGAACTGTCCAAGGTTACACAGACCTAGAATTTGAACCCAGATCCGCTGACTCTGGATGCAGGCTTTTTCTATTACCCCATGTTGCCTCCTGGGTTTTCATGATGGCTGATATTTTTAAAGTGGGAAGGAAGGATGAAGAGAATTACAGGGAAACTGTTACTTTTCCCTCCTATGTACAGAAAGTTAATATTACTAATTGATCTGTTTTAAAAGATAATCTAATACTTGGAACTTGTTGTAGGATGTCTGCCAGCTGCCATGTAGGTAAGGGAGGGGTGACCAATATCCCATACATGGCTAGCTTCTAACAACAAATAGGGAACCTGGTGGTTGTTGGAAGGGAGCAAGGACATAGAGAATCTTATTCAAAGCTGCCATGGAATTTCAGCTTGGTATAATTCTCTTTCTGTGCTGATTCAAACCAAAGAATAGGCAAATTTCTAAAAATTTTCATATCATCATTTGTTTGATATTTTAGAACAGGCATTCACCTGTTCTCTTTAGGCTTTCATGGAGAAGGGGAAAAGTGGTTTTTTTTCCCCCTTTGGAGTTTGGTAAACAAAATCCAACGGAAATGGAGATTTTTCTCTACATGAGGATAAGTTTTCTTCTACACATCCTGTAAGGCCCAGTTCAAAGCTTACTATTTGCCAGTCTTTCCTTTCAGAGTCCACAGTGTTCATTCTCTCCCTTCCCCTGAACTGAGTCATTTTGTATTTACTCTATGACTCCTACTATATAACAATACAAAGGAAAAAAATAGGGAGGCAAGAAGATCTTAGGCCAGTGCTATTGTTTCATGGTAGTTAAGAGTCAGTGAAAATGGACTATTTGAATTTGCCTGGGCTGCAGTAGCTCCTGTCTTCTAGCTTTACTGTATCTTGGAGGTATTTGCAGATGGTTCACTGGCTAATTGATTTGTAGATTTAGAGCTAGTGACTATTTAGTCCGATACCCCTCCTCCCATTTAAGCTGCAGAAACCGAGGCTTAAAGACAACTTTTTTTTTTAGGTAATGGGGGGTTAAGTGACTTGCCCAGGGTCACACTTACTAGCTAGTAAGTGTCTGAGGCCACATTTGAACTCAGGTCCTGACTCCAGGGCCGGTGCTCTATCCACTGTGCCACCTAGCTGCCCTGCCAAAGGCAACTTTCTTATGATCACTGAAGCTAGGTCACTGACTCCAAAATCAACAATTTTTCTGCAATATCCTATGATAATGACTTATTATAAGAGAATGAGCTGGATCATTGCTGGAAAACTTCTTGTGAAGCGCTGAGTGACCCCAAATTAGTCAGTGCTTCAAAAGCCCATCTTCGACATCTGTATTCTTCCCTAAGATGCTGATTATGAATATGGAAAATTCTAGCCTAATCTCAAAAGAATTAAATGACAAACAAGCAACAGAAAGAGGCACATTGGGCATAAGTAACAGCAATATTTATCTTTATTTTCTTAATCTGAAAGAATAAGCTTCTTGAGAACAGGGAATGCTGCTCTGTCCTTGTAGACCTAGCACATAATACAGTGCCTGGCATATAGTAGGCACTTAATAAACGCTGATTATCTTATGTTTATTGGGGCAGCTAGGAGGCACATTGGATTGTGTGTCAGACCTGGAGTTGGGAAGATCTGAATTCAAATGTGACCTCAGATACATACTACCTGTGTGACCTTGAGCAAATCACTTAACCTCTGTTTGCCTTTAGTTCTTCAACTACAAAATGAAGATAATGATAGCACCTAGCTCCCAGGGTTGTTGTGAAGACCAAAGGAGAATAACTATAAAACACTTAGCCCAGCACCTGGCTCATAGTAAGTGCTATATAAGTGGTAGCCATTTTATCTGGATCTCTATTTACAGATATTTTACATCACCTACGGCATTCTAACAGAAATAACTTGTGTATGACATCACAAAAGACGCCAAGACCATGAATGACAAGAAAAGGAGATGGACTGGTTATGCAGTGAGAAGATGGAACGACAAACACCCAGCCCAAGTGGCTCAATGGTACCGCAGATTCAGAAAAACTCCAACTAGTCCTTAGTTAACTTTTCCCATGGATTTGTTTAGTCATCTTTTCCCAACTAGGCTGTAAATTCTTTGAGGGGAGGGGATATATACTATTCTTCTTGGTAGCCTACACCTAGCAGAAGTCAACAACTTTGTCAACCACATTATGAGTAGCTTTAGTCACTAGCTCATAATTTGCTGGGGTTTTTTGTGTTTGATTTTTTTTAATTTTTGAAGTTTCTAGCTTTTTAAAAAAATGTTGACAAGAATAACAAAAGAAGGGGGGAAAAAGAAAAAGTGGAGGCAAGGACAAAAGTTTAAACATTATATATGCTAATTTCTGTTTGGCATTTAAAGTCCTGGACTCCATGTAATTTCCCCCCATTCCCATTGACAAAATCTATGGTCCAGCCCAAAGGGCTTTCTCCTCTATCTCCTGCCACTGTACCTTTGTAATGAGCATCACCCCATGCCTCTCATAGAGCCCTAATTTTGTTCATGGCTCAGCTCAAGCACCATTTTCTACAGGAAACCTTTCCTGACCTTTCCAGCTGCTAGTGCCTTCACAAAAAATTAGTTTCATATCTATTAACGCCAATAGAGCAATATTCTACTTGCTGTCTCTCCCAATAGAATATATACACCTTGAGGGCAAGGACTCTTGTCATTGTATTCCTAGCATGATGCCTGGTACATGGAAGGCACTTAATATTTGATTAAATATATCACTCCAAGCATAGTTATGCCAGGTGTAAGAAACTACCTTTATTATCTGAAAGAGAAAAAGGCAACTTGCTCAGATGGGACAGGCCCCTAGAAGATCTAGCATGGAGGTGGGAAACCCAAAAAGCTATTCCTTAATATTTCTTTCTGTTGATATTGTTGGGGGTGGGAAGATAGAGAGGTGCAATATTCTCTGCACAGTTCTGAGATGGCTGACAGTACTTTGCCAAATAGTAGAGACAAGTGCTCCAGAAGTAAAGGATTTTTTACATACAGAAACTCTGGAAACCAAAAACAAGGGCAGAAAAATCCTCAAGTAACTAAAACTCTCACTTACTGCTCCAAGTGAAGCAACATGATCTTTCCACGAATTCTGGCAGTCTAAAACGGGTTAACTTGCTCACCAAAGCAATCAAATAAACTTCAATCCTTGGAGAAGAAGGAGGCGAAGAAGGAGGAAGAGGCACATTTGTGTTTCATGTCCATGAAAATTTAAGTCTTTGATGCCAAGTGAAAGCTACACTTTTATTTGGCCCTGCCTCACAGTATATTCCACAAAAGTGTGCACTGGTAACAAGTACAGATGTATTCTTAATCACTCGTAGCCCACAATCAACTAAAGATAGCTTGAGGAGGTCTGCCATATGCCAAATTAATTTTTTAAATAAGAACACAAGATTTTTTTTTTTGCTTAAAGAATGTATGTTAAGGGCTAAGAAAGACATTGGGGTTAAAAATGTGACTTTTTTTTCCTATGAAGAGCAAAGCCTGCCCAAATGATGAAGTCACTCAAAATGAATGAGCAATCCTTCCCCACCACGCTCCTTCTTACATCCCCCTATCCCTTATATCACTAGGGGTCAACAACAGTCAAGGCCCAGATTCCTTGGACATCAAGAAATTGATTTTTGCTCCAGTACTAACACAGCATCATTGACTTAAAGGTTTAAGGAGCCTTAAGTCTAATCTTGTCCAACTCCTCTCATTTTACAGATGAGGAAACTGAAGCTCAGAAAAGCTAAGAGGTAGGCCTGTTGTCCCACTGATAATGCTGGCTTTAGAACCAATGTCCTGATTCCAAATCTAGCATTCTTTTCATTGCATCACACTGCTTCCTATCCCAGCCTTCCTTTCCAGGTAGGAGGTATATGCATTTAACTGGACCATCTACCTTTGTTATGTTATATGCCCTTGGGGTCAGGCACTTTAGCCACGCTAGCAGTGAGTATGGATAAAGGCTTTGCTCTGGGTTGTGCATTCCCAGGCTGGGGGTACTATATAGAATGTAGGCCTCCCAGAACAGGATGAAGGCTGATAGCTCTCACTCAACAGGAGGACTCAGGCTAACTTTCCAAAAAGCAAGATTATGGGTATTCAGGACAGCAGAAATTACCAATAAATCAACAATTTATTAAGTGCTTACTATATGCCAGATACTGTGACAAACACTGGAGATAAAAAGAAAAAAAAAGCAGTCCCTGACTTCAAGAATCTTATATTTTAATTGAGAAAACATATACACATAACATACAAGATAAACACAGAGAGAAGGAAAGTAACCCTAGAGGGAATGGCATTAGGTAGATTGCAGAGTGTGCAGAAAGGAGTAGGTTGTGAAGGACTCTGAATGACAAATGGATGCCTTTCTATTTGATCCTAGCAATGGAGAGCTACTGGAGAGAACTGATTTGGGAAGTGACGTAGTCAGACCTGCACTTCAGGAAAATCATTTTGACAGCCAAGTGAAGGTTGGATTGGAATGAGGAAAGAGTCAAGGTAGGGAGACCAACCTGAAGGGCATTACAACAGTCCAGACGTGAAGTGAAAAGGGCCTATGCCAGGGAGACCACTTCAAGCACTGATATATTGTAGAGAAAGAAAAGTTAAGATTCGACAATTGACTGTATATGTGGGGTGAGTGAAACTAAGGAGTAAAAGAGGACACTGAGATTATAAATGTATGTGACTGGAAACATGGCAGACCCCTCGAAAAAATAACAGGGTAGTTCACAAGAGCGGTGAGTTTTGGAGGAAAGATAATGAATCTTGTTCTGGACATGTTGTATTTGAGATGCCTGTCAGACATACAGTTTAAGATGGACAAAAGGCAGTTGGTGACTAGGGGGGTGGTTGGGGTGCAGCTAAGGGTGCCGTGGTTAGAGCACTGGGCTTAGAATCAGGAAAACTCATCTTCATGAGTTCAAATCTGGCCTCAGACATTTACTAGCTGTGTGCCCCTGGGCAAGTCACTTAATCCTGTTTGTCTCAGCTTCTCATTTGTAAAATGAGCTGGAGAAGGAAATGGCAAACCACTCCAGTATCTTTGCCAAGAAAACACCAAAAAGAGTCATGAAGAGCTGAACATGACTGAAACAACTTAACAACAACAGATGCTGGTGATCTGAAACCAGAGCTCAGGGGAGAGAAGCCAGGGCAAGTTATATATTCCAGGAAACACATGCATAGAGATGACAGCTGAGTCCATGGGAGCTTATGAGACTACCAGGTGAGAAAGCCCATGGAGAAAAACAGAAGAGGACCCAGGAGAAAGCACTGGGAGATACTCAGGGCTACTGGGCCCATATGGATAAAGAAAGAGCCAACAAAAGAGGCTAAAAAGGAGTGTCAAAGAAGTCAAGAAGGATGAGAATCTCCAAGCAGCCATTATATTTGGTGATCTGTAGATCTAGTAACTCTGGAAAGAGCAGGTCCAGCTCAATGATAAGATCAGGGAGGAAACAGGGATTTAAGTCCCTACTATGTGCTGAGCACTGTGCTAAACATTTTACAATATTATGTCAACTGATCCTCACAACAATAACCCTGCAAGTTAAGTGCTATTATGATCTCCATTTTAGCTGAGAAAACTGAGGCAGACAGACGTTAAGTGACTTGCCCAAGGTCATACAACTACCCAGTGTCTGAAGCCAGATACGGACTCTTCCCGACATCAATGTTAGTGCTCTATCCACTTTACCATCTAGGCACCCCCACAAACCCACATTTTTCAGGGTTTATAAAAGAGGAGAGATAAAGAACTAATTTTTATTACACAAAATTGAAAAACTTTACCACAAACAAGATTAACCTATGCTGTCTTTGCATCACATTTCTCTGATAAGGGTTTTGTATTAAAGATATATAGACAACTTATAGATATATTGGGGTAAAAACAAATAGTTCTCAAAAGAAAAAACTGCAAACTTATGTGAAAGAATGCTCCATATGATTAATAAGATAAATGCAAATCAGATACCAAGCAAATGGGCAATAACAAAAAGCAGGAATACTCAATGTTGGAGTGACAGGCAAACTAAGGCATTAGTGTGAATAGACTATGAATTCATGCAAACATTCTGGAAAGTAAATTGGAATTATGCAAATAAAGTAACAAATGTGCCAGAACTTTTGACCCAGAGATTTGACTGAAGGCATGACCCCAAGGAGGTCATGGATAAAAGGAATGGCTCCATATACACCAAAATATTTATATAGCAACACTGACTGTCATAACCAAGAACTGGAAACAAAGTAGATGAACATCAACTGGCAAATGGCTACACAAATTCTGACACATGGATGTAATGGAATATTACTGTAAGAAACAATAAATGTGAAGAACACAGAATCATGAAAAGACTTATGTGAACTGATACAAAATGAAGTAAGAAGAGCCAAGGAAACATTGTACACAATGACTTCAACAATGTAAATGAAAAAAAACTACCACAAAACAATTGAAATGAATGTTTCAAAATTACAAAGTATAAGCTTGGCCCCCAAAAAGAAATACGCAAAGATATTCCTCCACTCTCCATTTTTTTTGCAGAGATGAGAGGTCCATAGGTAACATTCCATAAAATTTCAGTTTTTTTTCCAATATATTGATTGGTTTTGCTTATCTTTTTCCTCTTCTTTCTCTTCTTATTTATTCATTTTTAGTGTTCTTTTGTTATATGACATGGCCCAGGTGGAAGGGGTAGGAATACAAAGAGAAATTTAGGCAATGTACAAACAAATTAATTTTTTTTAAAAGAGTGGAAGATTATTAAGTAGCTACATCTACAGCTTTTTCAAGGAATTTAGCTGAGAAGTAGAGGTATAGAAGCAGTAGGCAAGCTATAGAACATAGCAGGTATGGCGTGGTCCAGCAAGGATTTTTTTTTTTAAAACAATGTTTTAAAACATTTGGAAACGTTTGTAGGCAGCAAGGAATGAGCCAATGAACAGAGAAAGATTGAAAACTAGAAAACAGAATGATGGGAGTAAGGTGGTAGAGAAAGGAAGGGATGAGATGAAGGGTATGTGTAGAGGGGATGACCTTGGCAAATAGAAAAGCCACTATAGCTCTCTTAAACAACTTTCCTTGAAGGTTCAATTCTCAAATTGAAAATTTTGTTCTCAATTTGTTCTCAAAACACATGATCACTTTTTACAACAGTGACAGACTTCTCTAAAGAAGACACCACTGGTTCACCTAATGAGGTCAACAGTTTTCCTGCCCACCTCAATATTTTTAGTAATTAACTTGAGAGAAGAAAGAAAAAGGAAGGAGATTTGTGAGGGTGAGGAAGAATGAACAGGAGGACTTGGAGTTGGACAGAGGAAGGGATGAAGTGGGATGAGAAAAGGAGGTAGCAGTTAAAAAGGTGGGAGGCAGAAAGATGAGGATTTTGCAGGGACAGAATGGACGAGAATAATCAGTGACTGAGGGGGAGCAGGAAGAGAACAGGAAGGAGGATGAAGAGACAGAAGAGGAAGAAGTGTAAGAGGCAATGCTGAAGAGAACTGGAAACAAAGAGAATGCCATTTGAGTGGGGTTGGAGGAGAAATGCGTAAACAAATTGTGGCACATGAAGGTAGTAGAACATTAGTGTGCCATACAAATGACTGCAGAAAAGCATGAGAAAATATAGAGGAACTATATAATGATGACATGCGTGTCCCAAAAAATGAAATGAGAAAATGCATCTTGATCACAAAATGTTGGGTGGTGGGAAAGGAAGAGACAGAGGGAGAGGACTATGGGAGCAGGACAATGTGTGTGTGGTCAGATTAGGTTGATATATTTATTAGTTTTGCTGATTAGCTTTTCCCCTACTCTCCTGATTCTTTATTACAGAGGATGGTTCCCTGGAGAAGAGTATAATTAGAGATGAAAGTAATATAAAAATAAAAAATATTGGTAATAATTTTAAAGAGGAATTGCTGAAGGCCAGGGCTAGCAGGAGAGGCAGATGAGAACAGTAAAAATTAGAAAAAAATTAACAAATAAAAAAAGTATAAAAAAGTACTTTTTATTTTTTAGTATTTACGATGGCACGCACCATCATTTTATTTTTGTTTATGCATTTGAAGGCTTTTTTATGATTACTAAAATTTTTTTTTCAATTTTTTTAAAGAAAAAAAAGGTAATTGAGGCTTGAATACTAAGTTTGGCTATGTTCCCAGTCTAGGGTGACCCCACAGCCTCAATCATGTAAGCTTCTCAGGCAAATGTAAGTTTCTTGGAGGCAAGAACAGTTTCAGTCTTGTCATTGTATCCCCAGCAACTAACACTGTGTCCTGCTCATAGCAAGTATTTAATACCATTTAAAAATTTTAATTGAAATATGTTTTTGGAATGGCTTTCTTCTCTGTCAATATAAGTTTTACCCCTTCCCTTAAATCCCTCATGCTGCTGCAACCAACTCTACTTCTGGTCTTCATCAGTCTCACTTGGACTATTAAAAGGGCTTCTTAACTGGGAATCCTTGCCTCTAGGTCTCTCTACCTCCAGTCTTCACACAGCTGACAAAATAATCTTCCTAAGACACAAAAGGTCTGCCTAAGTTACTCTTTTACTCAAATAATTTAATGGCTCCCCACTGCCTAAAAGATAAGCAAATACCTTTTATTTAAGATGACAAAATTACAGAACAAATGAATAGCACTTGAAGGCATTCCAGAAAAATTACTCAAGAATTTGGGAAATCAGCATTATTATTATAATTTTTGAGGCCGGACCCCCTACCTCACTCAGGGTGGAAGTGAAGTGGCCAATTTGAATTCACTGAAGCTTTGCCCTACTCGATTTCTGACCTAGGTTGCTTGGCACCTCCTTAAGCTGGTGACAAATTCCCTTTTTTGGGGGAGGGGCCTCATTATATTGGTGTTGGACTTAGTGGCACTCACTCAAACTCTGTGATCCAGTGGACATCAGTCTACTTACTGTTGCCTGCACAAGACTCTCCATCTTCCCAAATTCTTGTATTTCACTGGCTGTCCCCCATGCCTGGAATGCTCTTCTGCCTCATCCCTACCTACTGAATTCCAAGGTTACCCTGACTTCCTTAAAGTCTCAATTAAAATGCCACTTTCTACAAGAAGCTTTCCCCAAGCCCTCTTAATGTTAGTGTCTCCCTCTGAGATTACCTTTAATTAATTCTGCATAATGCTTCTTTGTACAGAGTTTGCAGGTTGCCTCTCCCACCAGATTATGAAAGTTGAGATTTTCTTTCACTTTTCTTTGTATCCCCAGTATTTAGCACAGTGCCTAGCAGTGTAGCCCATGCTTAATGAGAATTTTTTTGTTGACTGAATTTGGACACCTATTGGCATTAATGCTAATACAGCACAGAAATCCTGAGCTCAAGGGATCCACTAGCCTCAACCTCCTTAGTAGCAGGGATTATAAACACCTGCCACTACACCCAGCTAAAAAATAAATATTAAAATTAACAGACATGGCACAAACACTTCAAAGACACAAGAGTTAACTAGAAGTCTTCCTTTAT